CACCTTGTTTCCGCCGCCGCCCTGCAAGACCATTGCCCAGAGCCTGTAGAGGTCGACGTCTTTGCCTGCTATGCGAATGTAGCCGACGTCGGAGCGAGATATGTCGAGGGCTTTCCAGGGGGACGCATTGGGGTCGTAGGTTGGCGGGTAAGGGACACCTACGAGGTCGGGGGGGAGGGGGTGAGAGCGAGAGTGGATGCTGGCGAGGCCCTGGAGGAACTGGCGGCGTTTCTGCTGGAGCTGGAGGTGCTGCTGGGGGGAGAGGGATGGGTGGGCCATGGCGGGCTGTGGAGGAGGGGGTGAGCGGGGAGGGACATGGAGGAGAGGAGAGAACAGACGTGGGCGGGCTGTGGCGGGGAGGACTCCGGGGGGAGGCCCTGGAGATCTGGGCGGCGGACGGGCAATCCGCCGAAATAAGGGACCGAAGTTCCGCCTGGCGCAGAGAGGTTTCCGGCCTTTGCGAGACTCGTGGCCTGCAGCAGCGCCATTTGCTTTGCCGCGTACGCGTCCAGCGGCGGGAACGAACCCAGGCCGCCGTCTTGCTGCCTGCAATCAACGTCGTCGGCACCCGCTCAGACGGGGACAACGAATGTACGCACATCGGATGGGCGGGCGAGGTCGTCGGTCGCGAGTCGGTCGCCGTCTCAGGCTGCTCAGCCCAGCGTCGCCCCCGCCCAGCCACGCCGACGCCCATCCGCTTCTTTTAGCCGAGGCGCCTTCCCGCGCTTTCTTCACAATTTCTTTCTTTCTCTCCTACCCTCATGCCCCCCTCTGAAATCGACGCCATCTTCGCCTCCAAACGCACGCCCGCCCCCACACACCCGTCCCCCTCCACCTCCACCTCCACCTCCACCTCCAAAAAACCAAAACGTCCCCCAAAGCGCAAGCGTGGTCCCGCGGCTCAGTCCGACCCCGAAGATGATGCGTCGTCGCTCAAAAAACATCGCCATCCAGAGACTGTCCTCGACCCTTCCATCCCTGTGACCCCCGTGCCGTCGAAGCAAAGCCGTAAGTCCAACCCCCGGCCGCCTTCTGACAGCGGCCCCGCAAGAAAGAAGGGCAGGCTCGCAACAGACGATGTGGAGCGTTTCCGCGATTCTAGAGGCACCGGCCCTAGTATGTCACCGTCCGCGTGTATCTTTCCTTCTTGCACACCCTACCCTCCCAGGGCGAAAGACCGAGGAGGGCTTTGCCATATACAAAGAGGACGAACTCGGCATCAACGACCAGGGCGGCGGTAGGCATCTTGGCCCACTGCTTCTCACGTCATCTCACCTCTCCATCCCAGATACTCCCCTTTGTCCATTCGACTGCCAATGTTGTGAGTCTCATGCGTGCTTCTCGTTCGCTGCATACCAATCATTCGGTCCAGGTTTTTGAGTACCACCCATGTATGTCATTGTATCATAGCAAAATACCCAATCGCCGTGCTGGAAATGCCCCCTGTTCGATCCCCAAGTCGCCCATGGCTCTATCGAAGCCTCCTAAACCGTTCCATGGTTTTACGAGGTCAATTTGAAGCCAACAGCTATTGCCCACCCACTTTATTCTTCGTTGGTCTACCTCACCCAGTGGCCATCTCAGTGCAAGTTCATACCATGGGAGACATTTATCTGACTTGCATGCGTAAATCCAGTGAGTCGGACGTATCGAGGCTGTATCTTCGATATTCTGATCAATCAGACACAATATATTTCGGAATTTGCTCAAGAGCCCTTGTTTTTCCGTGTGCTCTCGTCCGTGTCAGGCTCTTTCGAAGCCTTGTCTGCCTTTCCGATGGCTGTACGAGGTCAATATGCAGCCAATATTGAGCTTAATGATTCCTGTCCGGCTCTTCCCCCTTGAACGACTTTGTTCTTGTGGGAGTTGGTGCCCTTGATGCTCCAGGAGACACCTTGCATCTCATTCTTATCACCAGCTGTCTTTGCAATTTGTCAACATCTTTTGATGTGTTGGTTGCTTTGTGGTATGTTGTGATGCTGATGGGATATCCTTGCAAGTCATATACTCTGTATATCCCTTTGCAAGAAATCTGTATGTAACTATAGCGTTCCATAATCTGAGTTGTCGTTCCGAGGCACTATGCTCTTGTATCCGCCGTACTACACGGTACCCTGAGGTCAAACCGATACCTCAATCGTCGTCCTGCGGATTCCTCCCATAAGTAGTGGGCATATGCATCTATGTGTTTGAACTCGTAGGATCATTTGTCAAGATCTCGGCGTTGACCCATCTGGCTGTAATATTTCCACGGGTCATTCATAGCGTTGGTGCCCTGAGTGTTCTCGTATTTCTGTTTTCCGTGTACTATGGACGCCAACGTGGTCCGAGCAATGTACAGTCTGTCAATTGAGCGCGACGTGAAAACAAGTGAGGCTGAGCAAATATTGGGCGCTGAGCCGCTGTCACTGGCCAAGAGCATTTCAAAGCCACTCGGCGTTAGGAAATGATGACCTCGATCCTCAATCCATCTAGCCCGCACAGCCGTGGCTCCTGTTCGAGGACGGCCATGGCGCCTTGGGTAACCTCACCAAACATGTAACTCTGCGCTCTGCTTTCTACGATCACAATGTCTTCGGAACCACCGCCTACTTACTCGCTCGGGCTGCCGCACGATTTCCCCGACCACAGACCAGCACCAGCCATCGAGCCAGAAATCATTATTATCCCTATCGGAAACGATGTCAGCTTCCAGAGAGGCTATCTGGGTGCCAATGGCGAGCGGGCGGCGATCGAGGGCGAGTTGCAGCTGAAGAGTGCGGACAGCTTCCGCTGGGAGAAAGTGTTCGTTGTCCTGCCCACATTCAGCCAAATGGCACGACTAACAGCAGGCATATGTCTTAGGATCATGTCTCTCCGTACGGTGGAGACGGCTTTTGAGACCGAAATTGAACTCAGCGCTTCGCAGGCGACCCTTCACTCCTCCAGTTCCGAGGGACCGTCGTTGCGATCGAGCTTCCTCTTCGCCATACCACTCCCCCTGGACACTCCCCAGTGCATACACACGTCCCGCTCCTCGCTCAGCCACACCCTCACTGCACGCGTGTATGCTCCGGGCAGTGTGTCGCCCGCGTTGTCGAAATCGGTCGTGGTACATACACGCCGGTATTCGTCACACCAGCATGCGTGTCCCATCTCTCCCGTGAAGAGGACCCTAGAAGACCCTACCCATATTTCTATCGAAGTACCGAGGACCACTTTCAAGGCTGGCGAGCCTGTGCCTATCTACGTGACCGTACCCGTTCCCCGGAGGGAATTGGTGGTAGAACATGGCCTTAGGATTCGCAATATCCGAGCAGAACTGGTTCGCCTTGTTCAAGTCAAGGACAAGGAGGAAGGCGACCTCAATTTTGGTGCCAACGTCGACTTCGATATGCCTCCTGGCGGTGCTCGGAGGGACGGTCATCACGATGCATCCTCTTCTGCAGTGCAGAAATCTGACATGCAGCCGTCCTCGTCGACAGATGTCGGTCTTAGGCCCATCTCCGGCGTACGTGGAGAGCAGAAAACTGTATCACTATCTGGAGCATCATGCCGTCTGCATCCGACCCGTCCGCTTCGCGTTCGACTCGTCTTACACTCAGTGGCAGATTCTCCCATAGGTCTGCCCACCCAAGACCTGTCCCCGACCGCAGAACATTACACCTCCGAAGATATCGAGTGTGCGTCTATCACTCAAACCACTCTGCTCCATGCCGTCTTATTTCGCCTCCGTGTCCGAATCGCGTTCATGAACATGTCAAGCCGCACCGAGCACATTTCCAGCGTCTCCTTCCCTATCGTGATTCTCCCCCCGAGTGCACCGCTGCCTGAAATAGAGGAATCGATGCACAATGCGTACCACAAGAAGCATGATCGTCCCCCTACGAGGACGGTCCGAATGGACGATTGCGATGTTCCTCAATACGAGGAAGGTGAAGCAGGACCGAGCTTCCTTTCTGGCGCCCCTCCACCATTCGAGGAGCGCGAGGCGCCTCCGCCGTTCTTCTCGAGTGAACTCGAGGCATCTTCGTCGTCGCGACTGCCTACTTTTCAGGAGTCTGAAAGGGAGATCTACGTCCCGTCGAGTGAAGACCCATCCATCGACCCACCCCCGTCGCTGGGCTCAGAATGGGCCTTTGAAGGCGAAGGCACGCTCTTCGGCTTCCCCGCATCGGAACAATTCGATGGCTACGCGGACATGGACCGCTCTTTCACACCCCCTCCAACGGTCGAGATGGCAAGTCGGGATACGGATGTGACAGGGCTCGCGAACATGAATGCGGACGCCGCCATCGAAGCCTTAGGCCTTGCTTTAGGCTTGGAGAGTTCTGCTGAGACAATAGAAGACGGACCCCCTCCACCGCCACCGCCTATGGATGATCCTTCAGATCCTCCCCCATCCATCGACTCTGCATTCAGAGGCCCGCAAGGGCACCGTCATACCCCCAGTCCACATCCTGGTCAGCCCCACGGGCTTACCAGTAACTCAATCGCCGACCAGATTGCTCATCCCCTTTCCGCACCTCCGACCGACACAGATGGATCTCACGGGCATGCACCACCTCCATACCGTGTACCTGACGGCGAAGCAGGGCAAGATCATGGAACGGGTCCCCCTCCTTACGTGGATTTGGTACACCACCCGCAATCTTAGCTTGTATCCTTACCCCTTACTTGTAGACTTGTAGTTTCCGCGACCTGTCGAAGTAAATAGCAGAATCTGCTGTCCGGGTGTAATATAAGAGCAAATACATGTACTACGAAACGTGAATCATATAGATCAGTCAACTGATAACAGACATAAGGTGACGGAGAAGATATAACAAGGGACTCTCCGATCGTAGCGCGGCCGTGCGCTCAGCAGTTACAAGAATCCTTGCCCTTCGAAGCGTTCTCCTCAAGGTTGACACCCTCTTGTGCGTTCCCGGTCCGTCCGCCGGCACCACCAGGGCGGCCAGATCCACCACGAGATGAAGCAAGGATTTGCTCGATGGGAATCTTCTTAGCTGGAGGATTACGGTCGGAGGTAAGCCAGGAATTTCCAGGAGGAGTCGGTGACGTACCAATTTCGGTGAAGATCTCCACAACACCCTCGCCAGTCTTAGCACTGGTCTCGAAGAAAAGCAGGCCAGCCTCCTGCGCATATGCCTCGGCCTCCTCCCTCGGTACTTGCCTCAGGCTTTCTGGTTCCGAGGCAGCACCTGCATTCTCTCCGGGCGTGGCTGTGGCATCGTCGGCCTCATCTTCAGACTCAGTCGCGGGCGACCCCGACACCGATGGTGATGGCTGAACGAGGTCAACCTTGTTGCCAGCAAGAGCGATGACAATGTTGGGGTTCGCCTGTCTTTGCAACTCCTTTACCCACGTCTTAGCCTTCTCCAAGCTAGACGCCTTCGTGACGTCGTAGACAACTACCGCTGCTTGAGCGTTACGATAGTACATTGGCTACGAGTAGCGGATTGAGAGTGTCAAAAAGGATCACATAAACTGGGCGAAACAAAAACATACGGCCAGGGAGTGGAAACGTTCTTGGCCGGCTGTATCCCAGATCTCATATCGGAGCACACGGTCTTCCAAACGACACTTCTGAGTGAGGAATGCAGCTCCGATTGTTGGCTCCTTGTTGGCTTGGAATTCATTGGACACCTTCAGGCACAATCGTAAGTACGCCCGCTGTGCAAGATAACCACAGCACTTACGAAGCGGAGCACAACGGATGATTTCCCCACAGCCGCCTCGCCTAGAGAGTAGAAACTGTTAGCATTGCAATTCTCCGTTTACGACACTGTCGCCTTCTACGTCCCATTATGGGACGGACAACAGTTCTGTGAATCTCGAAGAGAGATAGTGGGATCACGCGGTGCAGTGGTATTGCTTAGATCATGCAAGGGACGCAGGGAAGCTCACCTAGGAGGACAAGCTTGACCTGCACAGACCTCTCCGTTGAACCTGATGCAGCTTCGGCCATGTCTAAGGGATGTAGCGGAGAGTATGAAAGTGTGGGCTGGGAGGCGGTGGTATAACGAAGAACCGCGGGCCTGCGGTGGCGTCTGCACTGTTGTTTATCGCGTGTTTGCGGCCCTGCCGCTTTTGTCCACAGCAGGCACCGATGTGGTTTCGCGCCAACCCAATCTCTCAACATTCTGGCTGAATGCTATGCATGATACTGCATGATGCATAAAGAGACACCCCCTCATCTAATTACATAGAAGGAGCAGAAGAATTGGAACTAATCGATGTGTATATTTCATACAACGGCTTGAGCTCGGCACAGGTCACCCAGATGTCGTCGTCCACCTCTATTGCTGGCGCATTTGCGAATGCCGCAGGGCATTCGAATGGAATCTGTGCAACCTCGTTGACCACATCGAGTACCATTTCTTCGGGGCGAGCCACAAATGACGTTGTCCTATCGAGATTGTCGTCAAGTTCGTCAACCTGGCGCTTATGCGTAGACTGCGCCGCAGGCGAGTTGGGTATAGCACTGCTCTGGTCGTAGAACCAGAAGGGCGTATTCTTGTAGGTGCTAATCTGCTTTTCCAAGAATGCCGCATACTTTCCCTTTGGATCTCCATAAGCTGCAGCAACGGCAGCCACATGGGGGAAGATGTCTGAAACATCCTCGCCTTTAGGATCGAGACCCATTACGTAGTCCAGAGCAGTCTGAATTGTGGCACCGTACTTAGATTTGGCAGTCCATAAGTTGAGGCCCAGCTGGTCTCCCATCTTTGCGTTCGTCTGGCGGCGTATGAGAACGCTCAGTAGCTTGTTGTCGGAGGAAATTGCGACTCACGATCATCGCCTCAAGATTGAAGCACCGATAGTGGAATGGTCTAGTTCGTACGGCTTCGAAAGGCTGCTCGCCTGACGCAGCAACCTGATCCAAATACTGGTTTGAAAAATAGCCTTGTATGGCCGAAATTGCACCCTTAGTATCTCCAACATAGAGCTTCGCGGCCGCCAACTGGTTGACATAGAACGAGAAATGGTTACTGTGTATCGTGTCTTTAGCAACGATTTCACGGATCATATAGCGCGCTTACTTAGCTTTCGATGCTGTTTGCTGGCCAATATCACTTGTCTGTAGCCAGGTGATATACTGGTTCATCCAGCTCGTCATCGTTTGATCTCTCGTTTTAGTCCAATCAGGGCTTCCGGCCGCCTTCAGCAACTGTATCCCGTTCACCACCTTGACTAGACCGCGCAAATCCAGGACTCCCGTGAACGTCCCGACTTGATGGTCCTTGCCTGGACCCCGGACCATCTGGCCAAAATTCATGTTTGGATGCACCCCGGTTGTCGACGAGAGGAAGAACGCGTCAACGAACTTTGCGGCATTTTGTGAATACGCAGCAGTCTTTTGCATAGCATAAGCCAGGCTGTTGTAAAGGACGGACTGTGACATGCTGACGACCGCAGGGGAGTCGGGTAGGGTCCGCACGTCTGGGTTGACCTTCCCATCATGAACCTCGTAGGGACAGGTCGTCCACGCTGTTCAGTTTGAGTTGTCATCAGCACACAACTTATGTTGAGAACATGGAAGTACACACTGGCGCTTGGAGCTAAAGACTTGGTAGGAGATGGTGTGCATGAAGCTTGACTTGATTGTGTCTTTGCGGGGGCTTCAGCAGGCGCGGGAGTTCCAGCAATTGTACCGACGGTGCTCGAAGAGCTGCTACCTGGATACGAGAGCGGTGGAATAGTGCCTGACGGTAAGGTCGGAATGTAGCCAGTGGGTAAATTATCACGAGGTTCGAGACCATCGGGTGCATGCATATCATGATTTCCAGACAGTGGGTGTGCATTTGAGACGCCATCTGCGGCCGAGCTAGCCTCAAAAAGGTGGTCAGAGCGACGAAATTTTCTCATTCTCCGATGGGGCCCATATATTCCATGCGTACGTGTGGAAACAACAGATCCATGATCACGGATTACGATGAGAATCCCTCCATCGTCTTCGGAGTCGCCACCGTCATCGTACGGATCTGAGTCAGGGCCAGAGTCTGAATTGGAACCATCGTCCCCTGCACCGTCCTCAGTGCCATCTCCAGAGCCATCGTCGGGACCATTTGATCCAGGGTTGGATAAGTGAGTGGTGCCTTTAGTGCACCAGTTACAGTTTGGCCAATGGCTGACCATTAAATTAGAATAGTCAGCTCACTGATTCGAAAAATATAGCAGTATTGAGACGCACTACGGGGCCCAGCTGAGGTAATCGCGAGGATCGCCGCTGGGAGGCTGGACACTACCTTTGTCAACAACAGCTAGAAAGTAGAGCGTCTGAAACAAAGTTTTGAGTCGAAAAATAAATGACGCACTCCACGGTCCGGATTTTGCGGAGCTGCTCGCACTGTTGATGATAGCTTGTCGCGCACTGGCAGTGTCGCTGGACGCGTCTCCGCCAATTTGTTTTATCACGTAGTCAACGTTGACCCAGTCGTTTGAATCGGCTGTATGAATGTAAAATCGGTTAAATATATAGATACTACGAGAGTAGCACGTACCAAGCACTGCTGATAGCCCACTTGACAGAAGTAGGCACAGGTGTAGTAGTTCCGAGAAAGCTAACCGCTTCATACTGCGTAGGCCGGTGGATATCGTCCGATACTACTGGCAGAAACACAGTATAAGGGAAGCTATATGAAGTTTTGCAAGTCCAGCCTGCCAGAAAAGATTATAGAGAAAGCTCTGACGATTTGGACTTTGCCAGAAGTGCTACCAGCAGGCTGACATTGGTGGAGTTAGGCTGACCGTACATTACACCCACGACTAAGAGATCGAGAAATCACAGTATTCAGTTCAAGGCCACAATTTTCAGCCGACGGTCAAATCCATCATGCGGTCTTTGGTTGATTTCCCTGGTAGGAACGGGGCCCAGTGCTGCCAGTCAATATGAAAGCAGCAGGCCGAATTGAGTACTTACCATTTGCAGAAAATAGAGCATTTAGTGAACAGGCTTTCGCGGTCCTCAGACATACGAGCAGACATCATGGCTGTAATTTCTCAGCGAGGCTGGCCGCACCCGTCGTGTCAGTTGGTGGCGAAGATTCGGAAACCACGAATCCGAGTCGCCTGTAACACAAGCCTGGCGCGTAGCGTCGATCGTGTGATGCTTACGCTCTTAGAATGCTGCCACTCCCATAGGTCTCTATTCAAAAGTCTGCCTACAGGGAGACAACTGCACTTGTCAGTAATCTCTGCACACCCACAATGGCAACGGATGTCCTGTCGTCTACGACCACAGTAGTCCTTCGCAAACGAAAAAGAGCACCCGAGCCATTACTACTTCGAATCTCCTCCTCTCCATCTCCTTGTCATGGCCGCTCACAATCCGAATCAGACTACGAGCCAGCTGTGAATCTATCGAAGGATAGTGCGAAGAGATCACAGCGGTATACATGCACTCAACCAGGTTGCGAGAAAGCGTACTCTAAGCCTTCGCGCCTCGCTGAACATGAGCGGTCACATACTGGAGATGTACGTTCACTCATAATACGCACAATTGATGGTATTCTTATTCTAGGTCACTAGCGACCATTTAAATGTGCCGTATGCGAAAAGACGTATTTCCGCGAATGTCATTTGCAGGCACATTCGCGTACGCACCTACCGGAAGATAGCAAGCCGTTTAGATGTAATGAATCCGGTTGCAGCAAGCGATTCTGGACGTCCCAACACCTGCGCGCTCACGAGAAATCACACTCTGCAGAAACCTTGTTCAGGGTGCGTCCTTTTGCTACAACATATTCTCGGCTGTCTTCAGCTGTAATCACAGTGCACCGAGGTGTTATGTGAAGCTGCATTTTCAAAACACTATCAATTGCGTGAGCACATCTGTACTGCTCACTGCCCCCCAGGGACAAAGCCATACCGCTGCCAGCACTCTGGATGCACCAAGTCTTTCACCACGAATCAAAAACTGCGCGCCCATGTCAAAACTCATGATGGTGATTGTTGCTGTTATCTGTACCAAATATCTAGCCCAATATTGTATGTTCCACAGAGAAGCGCTATACTTGCGTTCATGAATCCTGTCTTCCTGAATCAGGGGCACGGGCAGAGACAGGGACCGGATATTTTTCGACTTGGTCTGCCCTGCAGCACCACATTCGTACAGCGCATCCTCCGACTTGCCCTCACCCTTCCTGTAAAGGAAAGACGTTCACAGCACAAAAGGGCCTTCGAGCACATCTCAAAATTCATGCCGAACGGAATTTGGAAGTAGACCTAGAATCCGCAATGGTAAATTCTGGCGATGAAGACGCAGAGCGACCGCGAAAGCGTCGTAGAGGCGGTGAGCTCGGTAGAGATTGGATTTGCCCAGAGCCTGCCTGTGGAAAAGATTTCAAATCTGTGAGTGTTCATGCGAGTCGAATCTTGTTGGGTTACTAACAAGTCTGGTCACCGTCCGCAGAAGAAGGCTCTCACGACGCATCATAGTGTTACTCACCTTGGTCGTCGGGATTTCATCTGTCCCGATTCCGACTGTCAACGTGCGTTTGGCTACAAGCATCTCCTACAACGACATGTCGCGAAGGTTCATGCTCTTCCCCACTCTAATGAAGATCGCAGCGACTCCGATGAGGAAAGTGGAGATTCTGATGCTCTCATGGAATCACCGTCCGGTATTGATTTCATAACTGGAAACGCATACGCTATTCGCTCTCAAACGCTGCTGAGCAACGCAAATTCCCTCCGATGCCCCTACCCAAGTTGGCCAGACTACGCATCCGACGCTCCTTCGGGTTCCAACACGATCTGTCAATATGTATTCAGCCGAGCGTATGACCTCCGACGTCATATGCTTTCTGAACATGGACGGCAGATTCAGAAGGGAGTCGTCGACGCTTGGGTTCGCACAGCCAAACAGACGAAGGCCGTGCCGGATGCTCAAGAATAAAAATTTCGTGTGCATTTTTATCTATACTATACCTCGCAGATATAATGACATGATAATTATGCATGTACCTACACAATCATAAAAATGGATTCTTAGGTAAATAATAATATGATAGCTTTGGTGTTCTGTCATGTCAAACATGCCATGGAAGAATAGTAAGAAACCGATGCGACGAAATAGGGCATGTATGAGTGGTATCTGTGAGGGGTGATCCAGATTGTCTAGAATACAACATGAGTGGAGTCAAAATGGAGGCGAAGATGCGTGAGGCGACAACTTCAATATCCGAAAAGAGCCAATCCTCCTCTCACACAGGTATATTTCATCGTTCTGCCTGCCCAAGAACAGAACTTCGTCCGAGATACGGTCGGGGTCGATATCACCAGCATGCGCATAGTCGGATCGAGGCGATTTAGCAGGTCCTGTGCTAGTCTTCTTGCGATGCACAATGGCAGACTTCGCTCCCGATGTCGCGATAGGCATAGATGAAACAGGTGGATGCAATGACAAAGGTGTCCCAATTCTCCACACGAACGGACCCCGCCTACTGATACTGGACACTGGGGGCTGGAAATGTGGGTAGATGGGACGCGAATGATCGCCAGGACGAAGTAGCGCGTCACCGAAGTCAACTACTTCAAGACCGCCTTGCCGCAGAGCGACGAGTACCGCCCGATCGTCCATATCGAATGCTTCTAAACGTTTAACATCCCCAAGTCTGACCGGAACCGACCGATACTCATCCTCTTCATCAGAGGTCCACATGAAGCGCCCTTTCAGCACTGACCTACCTCGAGCGTCAACTATGCTCGTACTATGGCCACCTCGCGAAGAGTAAAAAAGCGCCGGGGGTCCAAATTGTCTGGGTTGCGCGAGGAGAGATGTGGGAGATAGGAGGGGCTTGGTAGCATCTGCAACTGAGACCGGCAATTGGCTCGGAGTCGAGGCAGAAGCTGCCGTTCTAAAAGGATGTGTCGGGTCGACACACTGCAGCCTCAGATCCCTGAGGAGAATGTACTCCGAGCCCTCCTCCCTCCGAACAGGTAGGTCCGGAGGAAGAAGGGCGTCTCTATACCAAGCCTGCATAAGAGACGCCTTCCAGGGGCCTTGAAAAACACGGTCAATATCATGATGCAGTTTTTTAATACTAAACAAACCCACCATGGATATTCCCCTTAGGGTCTCGATAGAGCCACCGGGAGGGTGGGGAAGGAGCTGGGACGGGGAGACCAGGTGGAGAAAACTGTACTTGTGAAAGATCTACGTTGGTATCTCCGTTGACTTCAGGTTCGTGAGCGTTCCTATATTCCAGAAATGACATGTAAGTGGGAGGAATGATATACTCGTCCGATATAGTAGCCAAAGGGAAGTTTGGTGCAAAAGCTAGTTGTTGGAACGTTGTATAGGGTGTATTTTGCGCAGCAGCAAGACTCGCCAATTCTTCACTCGAGTTACTTGCACTGAGTGTGCCCAAGTGTGCCTGAGAGGCATTGGGTGACTGAGACGGTCCAGAAGACGCTGGCAACGGGCTCCTCTGAGTACCTTCATCCGCGGTAGAAGTCGACGGCGCCGATACAACCGTGACATTTACAGCAGTATCATCATCCGCCGTAGCACTCTCGCCTTCGCCTTCACCTGGCTGATCAGGCCTATTACCACGTGCTCGACGTCGCGCTGCCCGCCGCTCCGCTCTGCCTATTCTGACCTCACGAACCCGTACAGTAGCTGGCTCCAGGCCGAAGACATTCTGAGTGAAAACCAGAAATACCTCAACCAAGTCATCTCCCTGCAGCTGTAACTCAAGAGATTTTGGCGAGTCAGGTAGGATGAACGTGCGAGACAGCTGGAGAGCAGTGCGGTAAGTGCCGGCGAACAGCTCCACCTTCTCCCCGTTTTCACCACAGAGAATGGCAAGGAAGCTGTGATGACAATCAGCATACAGACAAATGATCCAGCCATATGGTTACGAACGTACCTCTTCTTTGCGGTTTCCACTGCTTTGATGAGCACAGCGCCTTTCGTGCCAGGTAATTTCGCATACTCGAGCTTGGGCGCAGGGGCCTGTGGCGGGGGAGGCAGTCCACTTGACTTTCGGGAGTCGGCCTCGCCCACACGCGGAAGCGCAGGCAAGTCATCGGAACGGCGAGACTGAAAAGCACTAGTGATGATTCGCGGCAGGAAACGAGCTGATGAAGTAGGTGTTGCTCCGGGAGGTGGACGTCCATTGCCTATAGCTGCTAATGTGGCAGCGCGATCTCGTGCCTGCTGGGTCTGTGCTCCGATGCCTGGCGACGTCGACGGTCGAGTAGGCGGGGGAGCTCGGACGGTCGCAGTGGACTCCGATTGCGCTATGCGACTCGACTGCGACCGAGACAGAAGGGAAGTCGAGTGGGTCGCTTCACTGAGTCTCTCCGCATGTGTGTCCTCGCTTTCCATCGGCGATGCGACGCGATTCATTCCCATCCCTTCTCGAACAGCAGGGATCGACGACTGGGAGCTAGTTGGCGAATGAGAGAAAATACCATCCAAGACTGACCATCGCCTCCGCCTCCGGCTCGACTGTTCGCCTGTGCTTCTCCTCGTGTGTGCCGTACTAGATTCCGATGTTCTCGGACTGCTGAGTTGACCATCTTCCTGTACAATCCCGGATCCAAGAAGGATGGGTTCCTGAGGACGTCGCGAACCAGCTGGCGGTAATTCCGGCAGGCGACTCTCCATCAAAGCCTCAGCAAGAGAAATGCGTTGTCGAGTGGGAGTTGTAGGTGATGAAGGATCGATATCGCCGTCATCGTCTTCATCCGGATCAACATCCATGTCTGTACCGTTGTTGGACACCCCCGTCGTGGTCGAATTTGGATTATTCTGCGGAAAGAGGGTGAGCGCTTGACGTAAAGTGAGCAAGGTAGGAGTAGGGGACGGCGGAGGAGCAACAGTCGCTCTAGAATTTGCTCTAGTCAAACTCAAAGACAAATCGAGATTAGCAGGACGACTGCGGCGGTGTATCGAGGAAGCAGTCTGGGAGCGAGCGATCTCAATACGCGGGTTCGAGTCGGAAGTCGAACCTGCAACAGATCCAGTAGCCATTGAGCTTGTTCGTTCGTCTAAAGCTTGGCTGCCACTTGGAGCTGCAACTACATTGATTGCTTCATCATCGCTCGAAGCCCACTCAGCCTTTGAATCTTCATCTCCTTCATCTGTCCTCTCGACGCGAAAGTCACCTGTCTGACGTCTGCTCAGCGTACCTTGCAGGACGTCGCTGAGTGAAGTAGCGCGAGGCCGTGATGACGCAAACGGTGCTGCAGGAGCCTCGGGTTCACGAGATGGCAAGGAGCTTGTATATGCAGGAGGCGGACCTACAGGGGTAGGTTCTGAGGGAGTGGGTGGTACACCTTCGGCAGTCTTTGGTCTCCGCGCCGTAGGTGTTCGTGTGGGACTTGCAGGTGGCGCAGAAATCGACGACCGGCGGGCAGCAGCTTTACTAGGTCCAGTAGACACGGGTGTCATGGGCTGCTTCTCAAGCATCCTGTCGACCGAGGCCCTTGGCTCCGACTGTAGCTGACCTATACTGATCGAACTGGCCGGTCCGCGTTTTGCTTCTTCCCTGCGTGAGCGCTCCTGCTCCCTTCTCACCTCAACCTCGATTCTCCACTCTACTGCACGCTTGATGTCCTCCAATGCATATACGCGCACGCCATTTCTCCTCCCGGCAATTGCAACCAACACGCCTCGATGTTCCATGACTACAACGCTCTTGAAAGCGACCCTCCTGATCAGTGCATAAGGCTGGGGCGCAGGAGGTGTCAAGAGTGGCAAAACGTCTAATCCTTGCGCATGACATAACAGTAGATAATGCGGCTTGAGGAATGCACCGCTGGAAGGGGGTCCATTGGCGTGTGATGGATTGATGTGGTTCGTTAATGAGGACAGTACAAGACCTAAATCTTTCAGTGAAGGCGGTGGCAACCTTGGCGGTGGTGTGGTTGGACGAGAGGGTGCCGGGGACGATCCCCGGGAGGAGTTTGCAATAGGTGAAGCTGGAGAGCTTGAATCCGCAGAAGTAGCAGGTATGGCGTCCCGACGGTGAATGAGCGAGGAGAAAAACCCCGATAGACGATTGGATGCTCGGGTCTATCATAGCGCTAAGATGAAAATAAAAGAGGACGAGTGCGTTGAGTACGTACATCAAGAGTAGCACGATTCCGGTTCCTACGAGGTCCTGACAACGCAGAAGCCGGCGCCAGCGACGTGCTTGGTGAGGGCGGGAATCGAGAGTTGGTACTCTGGGCCGACATTGGTACAGGACTAGACGGCTCAGTGACCTGGACGACGGGCATACTGCGTACGCTTCCACCATCCGCATCAGAAACGCTTTCCTGCATGTTATGAGTGGGTGAAGGAGTTTCGATAGTGAGCGTCTTGTCGGTGTCGTTGACCTTGTCAGCATCTACGGTCAGCTCCTGGGTATGTGGGACAACCTCCTGGATATCTCTCTCATCGTCGCTCTCTATCGCTTCGTGGGTGCCACTCCATTGGTCAAAATCCATGGGTGGCGGGGACCTCGAGGATGCAGGGACGGCATCCAGGCTGTCCGAGGAGAGGCGTCCAGGATGTAGCGACATTGAAAGTGAGAGTGCGGCCTGGAGGGACCGACGCGGCGCGCAGCAGGACTCTTATCAGAGCGAAGACAGCGGCCCAACAGAGAGCCAGTGCGGTACTGATGAGGAACAACCAACTAAAGGAGGCAAGTGAGGGCGAGAGACGGCGGTTAGAACTCGCAACTGGGGAACACTGGCGGCTGAGACCAGGCGGCACAAGTACTGTAGCTATGTGGGAGACGCGTGCACACCGGGCAACTCCGTCTGCACTTCATTCAACATTGCAACTTTCCGTGCTAGTGCAAGTATCCAAACTGATCCAACTGGATTGAGCTGACTACCGCAGCTCGCTACACCGGATAGCATCATGACCCAAGGCTTCCAGTTCTTGGGGCGGGACACGCCGAACACAGGTATCAATCATTTAGAAGAGCCCGAAGCAGGGTGAAGCTTATTCAAGTTTAAATCAAGGCAACGACTCGACGACCACATCCATCAGTCGTCGTCATCATCATCGTCCAGCCCGCCTACCAGCTCACTCCCAAACGGATCCCCGTCCTCCATCGCCTTTCTGACCTCTGCTGCCTTGCGCCGCCGCTTCTCATCTGCCTTCCGCTCCGCCTCTTCCTGCTTCTTCTGATACGCGCTACTCCCCACCACTTTCTCCGGGTTTTTGCAGAGCTTCAGCCGTCGATCCACCTCGCGCACAGCCTCCACGTCTGGCGGGACACCATGCGTCGCTATCATGGTCTTGATTGATTCCAGCACAGCAAGCACAGGGGGTTCCGGCTGATTTGGAAATTTCCATCGTGCCCAAGATGATGCTAGGGTCGGAGCAGCTAGAGAAAGACAAGCCAATGCGATTTGGGAGGGTGTATATACGAGCTCAGCATCAGTCAATCGGGCTGCACGCACATGCTTCAGCGCGATGTCATAAGCGGCCCTCAATTCGTCCATGGGCGCATCTGGTAATGACTAGACACAATGAAGTGTGTCACGTAAGGCTTGGACAGACTGTCACACACCTGAACATCAAGCCATATGCCCCACAATGCCCGGTGTGCATGCCATATCGCAAAGTCAAAGCTTAAGCTTTGTGCAACGAGAAACTCGAGATCTAAAACGTCGGATGGTGCCGTCTTCGGTATGTGTGAAGTATAGGCTTCGAGAGATATTGGATTGTTGGTGGTTTTCGTGGCAAGAAAGAGTGCGGTCAGCCTGCATTGTTATCTCGAAAGTCAGAGCTGCGCATCTGCCAAGCGAGGTAAAGCAAACCATACATGACATTTTTGGGGTGCCAATCCATCACGGTATTCTTGAGATAAAATCTTTTCAGATATGACATGGCGGTAGCCTCCACTTCTTCCGGAAAGCGGAAGTGTCCACATAGCTGAGAGATTTTTCCTATGTAGAGCTTGACCAAGAGATTTTCTTCGTCGGCATTGAGGAAAGACACGCCATTTGAGGATCCTGGCTAGAGCGTTATGCTTTAGCGTGCGAGTGCAAGGAGCATAATCAAGGCCGACGTGCCAAGTCCGCTTCAAAGGTGTCGCGAATGGCAGAGACGGCAGCAATATTCAAAGAGGCTCGTGTCTGGGCAAGTTCTTCAAGAGAGAAGCGCCAGTGACTGTACTGAGTGCTGCCTTCGAAGAGAGAGGTTTTGCTCGCCGCCGCGTCCGCGCCCGATGGTGGTTCTGT